CACAGTGGTAATACCCAAAATACCACAAAGGGCATGAGATGTTCAAGTACAAGTAACTTTCTGGAAATAATTGGACCCTGAGATGCCAAGGACCACTGGAAGGCACTGAAGCAGCAGAGGAATGGGCTGCTGTTGGTCAGGAGAGATAAAGCTGTCACAGAACAGTCCAACTCATGCAGCCCTCGGGTATGGGCTCACAATGGGCCTGAAGGGAGTAAGTGGGAGGTCTGCTGATTCCCCTCTTCATCTGAAGCAGCACAGGAGATCCAGGCCAGGAGAGCCCAAGTCTAAAAGATTTCCTGGAGCCTAGGAATAGACAGCAGGTGATGGCTTAGCGGAGGACCAGTCAGCAGAAGGATTTTTCTTCATCACATTTTCAGGAGCTTCTCTGGAGCATTTTCAATCTTTGGAAAAGAAGCAAATGTTACACCAAGAGTCTGAGGGTACTCGGGGACAATTCTTCTGGGGACCTATCCCTAGTCCCTTACCTCAGATCTGCCCTAAGGGTCATACATTTCCCTCCCCACCCTGTCAATTCCTGTCCCAAGGAGTCTGCAGCAACCTTCTCCTCCTTCCTATCCTAGCATAATCCCTGCACCCTGCTGAACACTGGAATGACTCTGGACTGAAGCTGTCATTATGGGAACTGTTCCCTTACCGCAAGCTGCTTCCCTCTCTCACTGAAGGGGCTAGAGGACTTTTAGGAGAGGTGGGACAGTCTAATTTGGGGCCAGAGGCCTGGTTCCTGTGGGCTGGGTCGGGGTTCTGGGAGATAGACAACCTCCTCCTTTTCTCTCCTCACCTAGGAGTCACACAGAACAGCCCCTAGTGCAGTGTCTCAGCTCCACACGACCCATCCCATGTCTGTCCACCTGACCTCTGCTGGGTCCCTACTAGCTCAGGATGCAGCTCTGCTCCAGGCAGAGAAGGCAGAGCTGGCTCAGGAGCTGGAGTCTGCAGGAGGCAGCCAGAGGAAAGGTCTCAGAGAACCCTGGATTCCCCATA